TTTTTGTTTGTTTGTTTGTTTGGGGTTTTTTTTTGGCGGGGGTAGGTTTTTTTTTTTTATTAATTTAATCACTTTACATGTCACAGGTCTACTCAGATTTTCTCTTTCTTCTTGCGTCAGTTTTGGTAATTTTTGTCTTTCTAGGAATTTGTCCATGTCATCTACGTTATCTAATCTGTTAGCACAGAATTGTTCACAGTACTCCTTTATAAATCTTTTGTATTTCTGTAAGGCTGGTAGTAATATTCCAACTTTTGATCCTGACTTCAGTAATGTGAATCTCATGTCTTGGTCTGTCTGACTAGAGGGTTGTCAATTTTGTTGATCTTTTCAAAGAACCATCATTTGATCTGAAATTTGTTTTTAAAACAAAATCCAGTTTTTTAGCGTAGTTGGGTCCAGAATAAGAAATAAGATTGTACTTTAATGAAGAGTATAGCTGACTGATGGATGGAAAAACGGATCTCTTAAAGAAAGAACATAGAAGAAATTAGAACTCAGCATGTCCAACACTTGACTTTGAAATTTGGTTTCTGGCTCCTTTTGCTATTATTAAGATCCTACTGTATGGAGCTTTGGACTCCTTGGGCTAGTCACTTCCCCTTCCCAGTTCTTACTTCCCCCATCCACAGATAAAAGGGTAGTGGTCATATGAAAAAGAAAATGGTGGTCATGAAGAGCACTATTTACTGAGTACCACTTTGTGCTGGGTCGTGTGCTGAGCCCTGTTACATGGATCTCACAAATCACAGGCACACAGTCGGAGAGGAACACATTCTTATACTAGAGGTGCTGGCTAGGTGGGGTGACCATCATTGCTGCCTCTGCTTCCTCTTGCCCAGGAAGTACAGCCTCCCTAATGCCAGGGGCTCACAAGCAGTTATCGCTGGGTAGGGGAGGGTATAGAAACACCAACTCCAGGGTAGCAAAGGGCCTCCTAAGCTCTAGCACACATCACCTCTGGGGACAGGGTGCTCACTCACTACTGACACAACCCAGCAGGCCACTACCAGCCAAACTATTATACTGGAAGAGGTATCTCCATTTCATAAATTTATTGACCTTGTATGGAGCAGTTCATAGGTCATTTTCTGGGTAGGATTAGCTCTAAGTCTGAAAGACCTGGTTAGTGTCAGGGGAGTGGTCATAAAGACTTGCTCTGGAAAGATAACCTTGGGCAAGCCATTTAACCTCCCTGAGCCTGGGTTTCCTGATCTGCAATGAGGATGAAGAACATGTCCACAACAGACAGTGACTGGGCCCTTCCATGGGTCAGGCACTAAGCTGACACTAGTCATTCAACTCATTCAATCCTCACAAGAGCCCAGTGAAGTGAGTCTTAGTATCACCTCCATTGTACACAGAAGAGAATGGAGATTCAGAAAGGATAAGTAGCCAAAGCCACAAAGCTAGTAAGTGGAGAGACTGAGCATCAGACCCAGATGTCTGACTCTATGCCCTAAGAGCTAAAATGTTATGACACTACCTTACAGGTTTGTCCAGACAACTTGGTGATGGTACAAAGAACCTAGCACAGTGCTCTAGAAGCACTCCTACTCCCTTCCCCAGAGTATGACCCACGCTCTAAGACCAGCCAGGGCCCAGGGTGCAGGAGACAAAAACAACCCCCGATCTTACCACGGCTCTCAGCAGCCCAGGGCAAGTAGCCCACTTCTTGCACTTTTTCCTCACATTTTCTGTGGGTTGTTACAAATGTCAGGAGGGAAGTAACCAACTGATCCTCTGAAACTTCCTTCCTTTCTGTCTCTGCATGTTCTCTCCCCCACTTCTGTTTGTAGCCTTCATCAGGCACAAACCTGGCTTAAGCTTGGTGAGACCACACTGGATATATCCTGGCTGGATGGCTGGATTTCTCAGCCCCTTCACCCCCACAGCAGGCTCCCAGTGCACCCAGTTCCCTCCAGCTCCCCCTGAAGGAAGATCCCCTGCAGGGCACCCTCCCTGTCCACTCACCCTGGGGGGCTCACCCATGCCTGACACCCCCAAGTCTCTCCCTCCAGCTCAGATTACTCTCCTGAGTTCCAGGCCCCTCCATCCAAATGCCTCATGGGCCAGCAGGGCTTAGAGGACACTCGTCTTTTCTCTAAAACCTGCTTCTCTCCTGGAAACAGCATCACCACCCTTCTAGCTACCTGAGGGAATTCAAACACTGAGGCCGGCAGGGAAATGCTGTGTCTGAGTCACACAGAGCCAGGGGTCTCTAATCCAAGTCCAGGGAATAATCTAAGCTGCTTCTTAAGAGGTCCCAGTCTATCTGAAGTCCACGCAGAAAATAAGCACCCCAACAGGATCAGTATTGGGTACCATTTAAATTCCCAACAGCTTCCTTTTCTTCAGTTAGATTAATGACAGTAGCACCAGACAATATTTATAAAGTGCTTACCATTGCCAAGCATAGTTCTAAAGCACTTTGCATGCATTGACCCATTAAATTCCCACACTAATGGTGTAGGGCAGGCACTACTGTACTTACATCTCTAACAATTTAAGTGAAGCACAGAGAAATCAAACAAGTTGCCACGGGCAGCACAGCCCCTGACCGGTGGAGCTCTGATACAAGTCCAGGCAGTCTGCCTCCAAAGCTCAGGACATACTGCTATCTTCTTATGAACTATTTAAAACAAATCTTACTAGTGGGAAATTGTATAAATAATGAAAAACAAATGAAAAAGTAGCTGAGATATGATCAATGTACAGTAAGTTACACACGTTAAAAGTGAATTTTAAAAAAGAAAAACAAAACTAGAGGCATCACAATTCCAGGTTTCAAGTTATATTACAAAGTGGTAGTAATTAAAACAGTGTGATAGTGGCAAAAATTAGACACATAGATCAATGGAACAGAATAGAAAACCCAGAAATAAGCACACAGTTTTATGGTCAATTAACCTTCAACAAAAGAGGAATGAATATGCAATGGGAAAGACAGTTTCTTCAACAAATAGCATTGGGAAAACTGGACAGCTACATGCCAAAGAGTGAAACTGGATCACCGGATTAAAGATCTAAATGTGAGACCTTAAACCATAAAAATCCTTGAAGAGAGCACAGCAGTAATTTCTCTTACATTGGCTGTAGCAATGTTTTTCTAGATATGCCTCCCGAAGCAAGGGAAACAAGAGCAAAAATAAACTATTGGGACTACATCAAGATGAAAAGCTTCTGCACTGTGAAGGAAACAATCAACAAAACTAAAAGGCAACCGACTGAATGGGAGAAGATATTTGCAAATGACATATCCAGTAAAGGATTAGTATCCAAAATACATAAAGAACTGATACCACTCAACACCCCAAAACCAAATAATCCTCTTAAAAATGACAGAAGACACGAACAGACATTTCTTCAAAGAAGACATCCAGATGGCCAATAGACACATGAAAAGATGCCCAACATCACTTATCAGCAGGGAAATGCAAACCAAAACTACAATGAGGTATCACCTCACACCTGTCAGAATGGCTAAAATTAACAACACAGGAAACAACAAGTGTCGGTAAGGATGTGGAGAAAATAGAACCCTCCTGCACCATTGGTGGGAATGTGATCTGGTGTACTCACTCTGGAAAACAGTAATGAGGTTCCTCAAAAAATTAAAAAATTATAGAACTACCCTACAATCTAGTAATCACACTACTGGGTATTTACCCAAAAAATACAAAAACTCTAATTCAAAGGGATACATGCACCTCTATGCTTATTGTAGCATTATTTACAATAGCCAAATTATCGAAGCAGACCAAGCGTCCATTGACAGATGAATGGATTAAGAAGATGTGGTATATATACACAATGGAATATTACTCAGCCATAAAGAGAATGAAAGCTTGCCATTTGCAACAACATGGATGGAGCGAGAGAATATAATGCTAAGCGAAATAAATCATCAAAGAAAGATACCATATGATCTCATTCATATGTGGAATTTAAGAACAAAACAAATGAACAAAGGAAAAAAGAGAGAGAGAGAGGAGAGGCAAACCAAGAAAAAGACTCTTAACTCTAGAGAACAAACTGGTGGTTGCCAGAAGGGAGCTGGGTGGGGGAATGGGTGAAATAGGTGATGGAGATTTAAGAGTACACCTATCATGATGAAAATAAAATAAAACTTATGTAAAAAAAATTTTAAAAAGTGGGTTGCATACAGTCACTCTGGAAAAAAAAGTGAATAATTTGATGCGTTTCCCATATGAAGACACTTGTGATGCCATTATCATGTTACATTCAGTATGATCTCAGTTATGCATATATGTATATAGAAAATGCAGAGGAAAGAGATATACCAAATGCTAAGAATGCTCTCTGGGTGATAGGATCATGGGTAATTGAAAATCTGTACATTTCGAGATGTTTCTAATTTCCTACAAAGAACATGCACTACCTTGGGGTGCCTGGGTGGCTCAGTCAGTTAAGCATCTGCCCTTGGCTCAGGTCATGATCCTGGAGTCCCGGGATCAAGTCCCGCATCAGGCTCCCTGCTCAGCGGGGAGTCTGCTTCTCCCTCTGCCCCTCACCCCACTCTCTCTCGCTCTCTCACTCTCTCAAATAAGATCTTTAAAAAAAAGATTTTGTTCATTTTTTTGACACAGAGAGACACAGCAAGAGCAGGAACGCAAGCTGGGGGGAGTGGGAAAGGGAGAAGCAGGCTTCCCGCTGAGCAGGGAGCCCAGTGCGGGGCTCAATCCAGGACCCTGGGATCATGACCCGAGCTGAAGGCAGACGCTTAACGACTGAGCCACCCAGGCGCCCCTCAAATAAATAAAATCTTAAAAAAAAAATAAAAAAAAAGAATATGCACTACTTTCAAAAGTCAGAACAACAAATGTAATATTTTAAAGTAATGATGTGATGAATTAAAAATGAAGCCCCTAACCTTCTCCCCAGGCCCGCCTCCCTGCAGGGATCACAACAGATCATTGTAAGCTCCAAAGAAGGGGCTGTGTGAAGCTTGGCCAGCCCTTCAGTCCCACCGTACTTACTGTATTTCAGTTCCAAGATGCTTGAGGGAAATATTCTGAAGGGCCAAGGGCATGGCAGGCACGGGCTGCAAGGCAGCCGCCACACCCACAAGCCCGGGGGGCGTTTGCACAGGGCACAGGAAGTCCTCCAGCTCTGCTTCCTCTTGCTCTGGGGAAGAAGAAAAGGGCAGTCATCCACTTGGGTCACTGCACTTGGACACACTAGACAGAGGTGCTACAGGCTCAGCTCCCAGGTGGGAGTCGGGGGCTGCCCGAGGAAGCCTTCCTTGTAGGTTAAGAGCAGCCAAAGAGGCAGGCTTTTCATCAAATGTTCTCCCAGGAAAATGATGCATCTTGCTGAGAAAGTCTTCCTGAAAACTCCGTTAAAATATGCAGAACTGCAGATACTTCTACCTCTGAGAATCCATCCGAAAAGTTACCTGATATGCAGATAAAACTTTATGAGCCAAGAGGTTCATCCTGGCCCTGTCTGGCCTCAACCTGGAAATAACTCCCTCAAACTGGAAGTAAAGATCTGGGGAGAGGTTAAATAAATCACGACGTCCTCAGAAAACAGAATATTATTCAGCTGTTTAAAAGGATGCTAATGAAGAATGCTTAAGAACACAAGGAATAGGCATGATCCTCCATGATCCTGGAGGAAGGGCACTGGAGCAGGGCCTAGAGGGCAGGAAAAGATTTTGACCTGCCGAAGGAGTGAGGGAGGATCTTTCTGGGTGTGTAAGTACAGGCAGCAGCAAGGGGTTCCAGACCCAGAGCTGAGGATGCCGGGAGGGACCAGAGGAGACAAGGCTCGGAAGGACAAATGGGCAGGGGAGTGCTAAGAGGGGATCTCATCTGGCTGGACCCACAGGGCCCTCTGGGGGATTCAACTGAAGCCCCAAGGAATCTGGGCTACAGCTGTGGAGTTGGAAGACCTGAAGCCAAATCATGGTTCTGTTGGAAGGGTGCTATGAGCAGGCTGGAAATCACATTTTCTCTTCTGGCCTCAGGTTCCACATTTTTAAAATGGGAAGGATACTCCCCACCCTGTCTCCTGCAGAGGTCAAGGGTATGAACATATTTAGAAAACCATAAAGCCCCATTCTGTGGACTTGCATCTTTCCAAAAGTAGTCTTTAACCCAGACTTTGAGTTGATTCAAAATAATTAAGGTCTTCTGGTTTATCAATACTTTAACCATCTTTATTCTCCCTCATTCAGAGCAAAAACATGTACACTTTGTCTCAGATTTTAATGTTTTGGCAAGTACTTCCCGTAACTGACAACATCTGTTTTAACTTCCACCTGTGGCCCTAAACCTCCTTTGAGGTCATACCAACTAAGCCTTGGCAATAAATGTCACCGCTGGTTGGATTCACCAGGGAGGAAACAGTGGCTCAGAAGGCTTCTGGTGGCCAGGGTCACACAGCCGGCAGCCGAGCCGTGCACTCACAGTTCCTTGCTTTGCCACTAAAACTACGTGGCTTGTCAGAGCAGGCTTTGTGACAGGCAGATGGTTCCAAGAAGGGAGGGGCTGCCCCGGAAGGCACTAGCCCCCAGTGCACGGAGGTCTTCAAGGGACAGCTACGGTGGTGACGCCACAGTGAAGGTCAGCACTTCCTGCAGGAAACACAACTGATGACCCAAGGCTCTGGTCTGGGTCATACCCTCAGTGAGGAGAAATACACTCAGTGAGCAGACCACACACGGAATTTTCGGCAGCGTTTATTTGTAATCCCCCCTTTGCCTGAGCTGCAGGCACTGCTCTATCACCAGTAGGAAGTCACTGCCCCGTGAAAGGGGCCTGGGCCAGCAGGTCACTTCCCGGCCGGGCCCTGGACATGGCAGGTGCTTCCTCAGCACGAGGAGAGGGTTGTGAGCCTGCAGACTAGGGTTCAAATTTCAGTGCTGACATTTTCTTGCTCTGTGACTTTGAACAGCTCCCTTGGCCTCTGGGGGCCTCATTTTCCTCTTCTGTAAGATGGGAACAACACTACCTTATAACATTGATGTGAGGATTAGATAACGTGATGCGTGTAAAGTGTTAGAACAGTGTAAGTGGTATGCATATTTTTATGATAATATATAATTACAAGAGTGCTATTTAATGTAAATTGGGTCCTACTTGGGCAACACATATAAATTATAAATTGGTTTGCCCTTGATCTTTCTCAGCTCTTGTGGAGACCAATGTTTTGGTAAAGCAGAAAATAAAGGTGTAAACGTTTAAAAGCTGTAGAGAAGAGAACATGCCTTGCAGATTGCTCAACAGCAGCGATAGGACACTTTTTAGAAGATGAAATGTCTGTGACTCAAAGTCAGATGTGAGTCAGTTGGTTTTCACTGCTCTAGGAGCAGGCTTTGCTTCCTCCCAGGAAGGGTGGAGACTGGAGGTGGGGCAACCTGCTCCAGACAGCTAATCCAGGGCCCCCCAGCTTGCTCACAAGTGCAGGCACGTCTTTCTGGTGGGCTGGGGAAGGTTTTGCAGGGACCTGGTCGGGGAGGGTGAAGGCTTGCTGTGGGAAGAGAAGCGTTTCAGGAGAAGCCCACATCCCAGCTTCCTGCGTCTCCCACCCGTGTCCTCCTTGAACAACGGCCTCCCCACCATGTCCCCAGCAGGGGCTGGCCCAGAAGAGGCCCACTAGGTGTGCTAAACCAAAGCCACAGAACTCAAGAGCTTGGACAGGGTTCAGCACAGTAGAAGAACCTGTGGGATCCCAATGCCACTGCAGTTCCAATTTCAGTTCCAGACATACAAGAATTCGGTTATCAGGAGAGTGTCTCATTGCTTCTAATTTGAGGCTGATCTCCAGCAATTATGCTGACTCAGGCTACAGTTCTGAACTCAGCCAGGGCTGTCTGGCTCTCTGGCAGATGGGGACTGGAGGGTGGAATGGAAGTACAGAAGCACAAACAAACCCTTCCCCAAAGAAAGCCCTTACAAGCATGAAACACCCAGAAGGTTCTTGGAGGAAATGACTGATGATTATTATTAACATTAACACTAAACAACAGCCGTTATTTTAAGAGTAGTACTGTACGTGTACACACGTAATAACCACCTTATTAGGACAGCTACTATGCACTGAGCAATTACTATGTGCCTGGCATTAGGCTAAGGGTTTTACGTTCCCTTCATCATTTAATAATAAAATCCAGTGCATTCGCTCAAAAATATCCAATGTACCAGGCAGGGCACCCGGTACCAGGGACATAAGTGACAAAGACATGGCCCCCATCCCTGAGGGCAGAGACTGAGAAGGATGCTAAATGAGAACACAACGTGACAGGCCTTGTTAGAACCATGTGAACGAAGTGTTGAGGCCTCATACAGAGTCCAGCTGGCAGAGTGCTGGGGGGCTTCCAAGGGGAGGCTGGCAAGAGCAGGAGGCAACACTGGAGCGTGGCTATAAAGAACAAGCAGGAATTTGCCAGGCAGACACACTTCTGGTGCTGCTGAAGCTCACAGCACGAGGCAGGCACTGGGGGGAGCAGGCAGAGGTGAGGCAAGAGAGGACGAGCCCTGAGCACTGTGCTGAAAGGCTGGGCCTGGGATGTGGTGGGGGGCCTTGCGAGGGGACAGGGCTCCAGCACTCATTTCAGAAAGCCCACTCGGGCCGCAGCGGGGAGGATGGGTCCGAGCTGGCAGGCCACCGCGACATGGGACACGGGCCAGGGCTGAGGAGGCTGCTGGGGCTTTCTGGCTAGGAGCCGGGGCCTGACCCGGGGCACTGGCAGCGAGCAGGGGCTGGAGGGCAGGCACAGCCAGCACAGTGACAGACCGGCTTGGCTCACCACCGAGACTGCCGAAGGGGCAAGGGGTGAGGGCGGCGCCCTGTTCGGCAGCAACCTGGTAAATGAAGGGCCATTTCACGAGGGGAAGGAAACTGGGGGAGCAGAGGGTCAAGGGCAGATGAGCTTGGTCTGGCACAGGTAGAACACCCAGGTACAGAGGTCTAGAGGCGCCTGGCCACCAGTCGTGCCCTGGCCTCTTCGGCCTCCCTGTTACCACGCCGCAGCGAGGAACGGAACTGCGACAAGGTTCCAAGCTCTTACGGGGGCAGCGGGGGTGCTCTGTCCCGATTCTCAACCTGCCAAGCACACTGCCAGCCGCGCCCCAGCGTGGGGTGGGAGGGTATTATCTCCAGGACTCCTCCACGCTGAGGGTGTCCTAGGACTTGGGACCGAGAAACTTCCTTTGCGGCCCACGTAGGGGTGAAGGATTCTGCTTACGGGACCACTACGGATAAAACCACTGCGCTACCCAACTCGCAGCAAAAAAGCCTATGTGTCAGAACAGCAACAATAGCTGCATTTTTCACTAACCTTCCTCACAGCAACCCTGTGCGAGTTTCATTTCTCCAGAACTTCCCATAACCGTCATGGAACTAGCAGCTGCCGTTTCCTGAGCTCGGACAACGTGCAGGCCTTGTTTCAACCACTCCAGGTGCATGGATTCACTGAGTGCTCATAATAACCCCAAGAAGTGGGTATGACTTATGAAGCTCATTTTACATGGAAGGAAGCTGAAGCTCAGAAAGACTAAGCACACAGGATTAGGATTTGAACCCAGACGTCCTTGCCTCAGAGCCCCTATTCCTGCCCTTGAGGCTACACTGTGTCCTAACTGATCCTGACTCACCCCCCTGGTTCTTTGCTTCTTTAGCAGAGGCTCCTCCCACTCACTCCCAACAGGAGGGGGAAGGCTTGGTCATCACGAGCCCTGGGGGTGCGGGCAGGAGGCAAACCCACTGGGTACCTAGCTCGAGGCGCAGGGTAGGCCCGTTGGCAGCCAGGGCGGCGTCGGGGACGGCGGGAGGTGCAGGCGGGCTGCTGTGGAACTCCCAGCGCTTCATCTGCAGCTGCTGCAGCCAGTACACCATCACTTGCTTGGTGGAGGCCTGAGAAGCACAAGGGTTAATTGGTATGGCCCTGTGCCCTCACGTGGCACTGGGTCTGCGACGAGGGAAGGTCCCAGGAGGCTTGGTAATTCTCTCCCTCCCAGAAAGAAAAACAAAAAAAACTGTCACAGCCGATGGGCACCCACCTCTGAAACAGCACCCGCTCTTGGCCACAGAAGAGAATCAGGATCCGGTCCCAAACCCTGAGGTTCCTTAGCCTTTCTGGGCTCAGTTTCCTCATCTGTGCTATGATGGCAAGAGCACTCCTGTCATGGGGCAGTTAGGAGGACGCAGTGAGGTAAGGAAGGTGAAGCGCCCAGCACAGTAGCTGACACACTGCAGGCGCTCAAAATGGGCTCACTGGACAAGGGCATTGGGGGTGGTAAGAGACAGGGAGAGAGCTTTGAAAGTCTTGGGGTGGAGGGGAGCCTGGCACCATTACCATCTCCCTGTGTGACATCGTAATGTCTTAACTGACTGTGATATTGTGATTTATAAGAAACATATATCTGGTCATTCAAATGACCAAAACTATATTTTTCATATGTATTTGATCTTTGTCCATGCTTTCTGGCTCACAGCTCCTAAATCCCTTAGAATTTCCTGGGATAAGGGCGATAAAGGTGACTTTTCTTGTTTTAACACGGTAACTCTTGGAAAGCCCTTAGGTAACCTAATGATGGGGGGGCTGGTTGCCAGGAGAATCAATCATATGATTAGGCTTGGACTTTCAGTCCCATCCGCCTCCCTCCCAGGAGGGGAGAGGGGCTGGAGGTTGAATGGAAGAATGGTCAATGACTTAGTCAACATGACTATGTAATGAAGCCTCCCTAAAAACCCAAAGGACTGGGTTTGGAGAGCTTCTGGGCTGGTGAACATGGAAATGTGGGGAGACTGGTGTACCTGGAGTGGGCGTGGACACTCCTGCCCTTCCCCAGACCTTGCCCTGTGCATCTCTTCATCCACCTGTTGACTGGTATCCTTTCTCACATCCTTTAATAAACTGGTGAATATAAGTGTTTCCCTGAGTTCTGGGAGCCACTCTAGCAGACTAATGGAACTTGAGGAGGAGGTCATTGGAAACTCCAATCTGTAGCTGGTTGTCAGACACACAAGTAACAGTCTGGAGCTTGCCACTGGCATCTGAAGCGAGGTGTGGGGGAAGTCTTATAGGACTAAGCCCTTAACCTGTGGAATCTGATGCTGTCTCTGGGTAGACAGTGTTAGAATTGAGTTGGGGGTGCGTGACTGGCTCAGTTAGTAGAGCACACAACTCTTGATCTCAGAGTTGTGAGTTTGAGCCCTACATTGAGCATGGAGCCTACCCAGAGAGAGAGACAGAGAACTGCTTGGTGTTGTTGGGGGGCAGGGGTAGGGGGACCCTCCATGTCCCACATTGGAATTGGGTCCAGGAATCTTAAAAAACTTTTCATGAAATGGAGAGAATCCCTCCTCTGTTCTGCGGATGCACCAAAATCATGGATATGACTGGGGACTGGAAAGCCATATGCACACAGTAATAACACAGAGGCACCCTTCAGGTACCCCAAACAAGGCAATGGTTGATGATGGTCATTAGTCTCCCTGGATGATCCAAATACCTACTTTCCCATCTATTCTGTTGCTGGATCCTCCAGGAGGGACCAGCCCTTCTACAGATGGAGAACTAAGGCTCTGAAGTTGCTCAGGCAGGTGGTGGTGGAGCTGGTCCCAGAACCTGGATCTCCCCCTTTAGACCACAGCTTTGTGGTCATTTACGGCCTGGAGGCTGTGGCTTACCTAGAGAAGGCCTGGGATCAGTTGGGCCAAGGAAGCTAGGAAGCTGGCTGGGAGTGGATGGTGAGCCTCACAGAGCTGCCAACAAGGCCATGTGAGAATAGCAGCAGGCGGCAGGCTATGCGGCTACCAGGGCAGGTTCCCCCTTCTGAGTGGTCCACAGGTAAGGTGTGCAAGAGGCCAGGGGGTTCCATGAAAGAGGCCCTAGGCCTGTCAGAGAGGTACCACGTAAGATAAAATAAAATGATGCCCACCAGTCTTCTCATTCTATACACTCTCACTGAGAGACCCTCAGCCCCTCCCAGGCCTTCACCAATACCTTGTGCTGACAAGCTCCAGCCCATACCCAAATGCCCCATTTTATTAATTCACTGGACAAGTGTATATTAAGCACCTACTATACGTGTCATGGTCCCATCCTCTTGGAACTTGAGTCTACTGAGTGGGTGTCCTACGGCCTCCCCATCCTGGGCTCCCTCAGTCGTGACCGGCCCAGCTGGACAGTCAGCCACCCCGACTCCTCCTTTGTATTCCTCCTCCCTCACATCCCTAGTCACCCCCATTTTATTTCCCTCCCCCCGTCACAGCTCTAGCTCACTCACCATTCTCTCCCGATCACCTCCTGGTGGACTCCCTGACCAGCAGCCTTGCCTTCTAAGTTTTTCTCTACCCAACAGCCACATTGAGCCTTCTAAACATTCTAATCTCACAGAGCTTCCTTGCTTAAAGCTCTTTGACAATTTCCCACAGCCCACAGGACAAAGTCCAAGCTCCCAGGCCTAACTCACAAACGCCCTATGCTTCGGCCCCTGCTCTCCCACTCCATCTTTTGGGCCCCTCTGTACCCCAGGCTCCTGTGACTGGCCAGGACACTCTGGGCTGTATCATGTTTCCTGTCTTTGCCCATGGGGCTCTTGTGGCCAGGAATACCCTTCTCCCTCTTGTCTGCTCGTAGAAAACCAAATCCCTTTTTCAGGCCTCAGATGTCATCTCCTCCTCTGTGCTTCCCTCCTGGGTGGACCCTTCTGCTCAGTAGAACCACACTTTGCTGGTACAGACTTAGCATCTCTACAGAACATTTCACTGTGTGTGCCAGTTTCCCTCAGTTCCCTTATCAGACTGTAAGCTGTTTGAGAACCTGGGGGCAGATATGATTTGGCTCCATGCCCCAGTGCTTAGCACAGAGCCAGACACAAACACAGATCAAGGGAACAGTAAAAGACATGTGTTGGAGATCCAGTAGACAGCACTCAGCCGGTGTGGGAGGGGACACATGACCCATAACCTACATGACCTCTGAAATGCCTGCCTTCCCTGGCCTGGAATTCCAGGTTTGCCTTATTTTATCTGATTTTCCCAGCCTGGTCACCAGCCAAGCCCAGCCATTAAAGGGGAACTGAAACTATGGGCTACATCCAGAGGCTCAATAGATGACCAGTTGGCTGGGAGTGGGGGTGAAGGGGCAGAAGATGGGGTGGGGCCGGGAGTCTTCTCTGATGGGTGTGAATCCCAGAACTCTTAGCCCAGATTTGTCTTTCCACTCAAGTTCTGGGGCACCTCCTCTTGACATGAACATTATGACCTTGGTTCTATCACCATGTGGGTTCATTAAACAGGAATTTATTGAGCACCCACTAGGTGCTAGGCTGTATCTAGATGCTGGGATTAATTCAACAATTTGTAGGTGCCAGATGCTTACACACCTTGTTTTAAATCTCACAAACTACCTAGATTCTGAGAGGTTAAGTAATTTGCCCAGGGTGACACAGCTAGTAAGCAGCTGATGTAGAATTTGAATCCAAGCCTGTCTGAGTTCAAAGCACATGGCCTTTCCACTGTTTCAGGCTTTCTAAGTTAAAGGTGATAATAAAACAAAACGTACTGATGGTAAAACACGTTAAGACATGCCTTCTATGAACATTCTAGGCTGAACTGAAAAACCAAAGTATTTTATCTCCCAATCCCCACCTATGTTTGCTCAGCATTCACTCCTCTTGGCCAAAATGTCAAGAAAAGTGATTCAGAATCCCGGCTACGAGAGGATTGCACAGTTCATATTTTGACTATATTTCAGCCCCAAGTAAGAAAGTTAAGGTAATTGCGTTGTTAAGGCACACCAAAAAGTAAGTTTTGATACAGTACTGAGAGGTAGAAAGACTCAGGGATTTCAAGTGTGGGCTACACCACTCTGGAGATGCATGACCTCTGGCTGGTCACTTCATCTCACCAAGACTCAGTTTCTTGATTCTAATATGGGTACATCATCCCAGCTTTTGTCGTGGGAGCCCAATGAGGAAATGGGTGTGACTGCGTTTTGGAATGCACTAAACCCTGGCCACCCAGGGTTCATTGGGGGAGATCCGGGTCTGTGATTCTTGTTCCAGTAAATTTACCGTGACCACCCACACGTGCCCAGCCGTGCCCTGGGAACTCACCCTGGCTGACAAGTTAAAAAAACTGCCCCATTTACCTTCAGAGTAATAATCCGGCTGGGAGTCTTGATTTCAAAAGTCCCCTCCTCGGCGTCCGCCTTGCAGTCAAAGACCGCACTGGAGAGGTCGATGCTGTCCAAGGGATTGGCATCCTGCGCGGTCCGCGAATAATACAGGTGACATTTCTTCTCGTCGTAGAAGAACCAGCGGGATTTCCAGCCCCGAATGGGCCCTTTGCCGCCAAATTTACTTAGATAGCCACAGAGTTTCTTGGGGGCCGCGTCCAAGGAACGGGCGCAGCCCTCCGACTCCTCCGGAGGCAATACCTCGGGGGCTCCGGCCGAGCCGGCAGGCTCTTCGAACCTGGGGACGGAGGAGCTAGACTCTGCGGGCTTCTCGTGGGCGCCCTCCATCGCCGCTAGAGACCGCCGACGTACTGGAAGTCAGCAGCCAGCTCCAGCCCAATCTCGGAGACTCAAGGGGTGCTTCCCAAGAGGAAGAAATATGGGCGGGGGCGGGGCCAGTAGCGACCCGCCCCCTGGAGACGGCTAGAAGGCGGACCGCTGCGGTTAAGTGCGCCTTTGACTGAAAGCCCAGGTGGGGCGGCTGGCCACGCCCCTCCAGAGCTCACGGCAGCCAGGCCACGCCTTCGACACGCCCTCTGCCAGCACCGCCCATCTCGCCTGCTTCCGGCTTTTACTCCACGCCTGTCAGCCGTCGTTAGTGAGGGCAGCTGCGGCGCATGAGCGGGCCCTCAGGTTGAAGGCGTGGTGTCATTGAGCTAGGTTAACTGGCGGCAGAGAAGCGGGAAGAGACGCTTGTCCCTAACTAAGCTGCTTTGGTAACTCACGTCATAACGTAGAAGGACGGTATTTCTTGCGTCCGCCTTTTCCCCCAGGTGCGGTGAGGGTTACCCTCGGACGGCGCATCCCGCGGCCATTGGCTGAGAGGGACGCCGGCTCGATGACGCCACTTCCGGCGCGGCTCTGGGCGCTCGCGAGTCTGGGGCCCTTCCCGCAGGCTTTTATCTGGCGTTCGTTTAGCACCCGGGTGACTCTTCGCTGACCGTGGTGGACTGCCGTGTATCTGCCCCAGCTCCTATTCGCCTCCCTCCGCGAGCCGCCCAGGCCCGGCTGCTGCTAAGTGATGATGCCAAAAAACTAAATAAAATACTTGCAAACCAGTTCTAGTGTTTTACAATTATATAGAACACCTAGAAGGAGTTAGAGATGTAGGGGTATTTTAATAACTAGAAAAAAATTACATCTGTAGTGCAAAAACAAGTATTTTAATATTTTCTAAAAAGGTACGTGATCAAATTCAACATCTATTTCTGAAGTTTAAAAATGTCTATGGAAATATACTTGGCACACAATGTTTCACAGTTTCTTAATAAAACAAATAGCATATCCTGTTCTAGATTTTTCTAGCTAAATAATATTAGATATTTGAAAGGATAATTATAATTTCAAATATATGACCTACGACTGAAAAACTCAAGAGTTTTCCCACTAATATTCCAAGATCTAATCCAGGATTCCACATTTGGTCATCATGTTCCCTTAGTCTCCTGTGAACTATGACATATTTCAGCTTTTCCTTGTTTTTTTTTTTTTTTTTTAAATGACCCTGACATTTTTGAAGGGTACTGCTCAGCTATTTTGTAGAATATTGTGAATTTGGGGTTGTCTGGTGTTTTCTCATGATAGACTGGGGTGATAGGTTTTGGGGGAGACTACCACAGAGGGGAAGTGCCCCCCTCATAATACCCAGCTATGTGATATGCATATGGTGATGGTAACCTCCATCAGTTAGTTAAGATGGTTTCTGCCAGATTTCGTGGCTATAGTTACCTCAACAGAATAAGAGTCACTGAGTCTCCACCACAAGAAGCTCCACCTTCTGGCGGGTGTGGGGGCACAGTTGATAGGATTTTTTAGTCCATTAGAAGTTCATTTCCAAGAGTGAACAGGTGAGGGCAGCCAAATTTTTGAAGAAAAAAGCAATTAAAAAAGATTTGGCCTACTAGATTCAGATTTTTAATTCAACCAAAAAGTATTTCGTGGGCGCCTTCTGCCAGGCACCATTTAAAATGCAGGGCCACAGTGATGAACTGGACAACTCCCAGACCCCACTGGGCTGTCATTCTAGTCCAAGGAGACAGGCCATTGACAGGTAAACGGTAAATGATCATGGTGACCTCAGATTCTCATACTTTCTAGGAAGGAAATGAACAATGATAAGAACAAAAGAATTTAGTGTTTCTAGTACAGGGACAGGCACATCAATGGAGCAAAGTAAGTTCAGAACAACATACAAATAAATGTAGGAATGTAGTACAGGGCCGGGTTTCTCAACCTTTTTTTCCTTTATTATCCCTAAAGGAACCTTTTCAGACTTTTCCCCTAATCACTACCTCCCATAAAATTTTAGCACCGCAGATATAATATGTATGTCTTTATGTACTGCATGTTTGTCTGTGCTTTATACATAAAAAAGAGTAGGATTTTCTTTTGTACCCCAAGAACCAATTTCCAAACTCTTGGGGGTGATGTTGTCCCTATTGAGAATTCATGGTATTGGAGTGTAAGATGAAGTTAGAATTTCAAATCAGTGGGGGACATGATGAAATATTTAATAAGTTAGTTTAGATTTTCACCTAATACTGTATATCAAAATAGTGTTTATGTAGATTAGAAAATTATGCATAAAAAATGAAGCCATAATATACAATCAAATGGAGTGTTACTCAGCCTTAAACAGGAACAAAATTCTGACAGATGCTATAACATGGATGAACCTTGAAAATTTCTGCTAAGCGAAATAAACAAGACCCAAAAGGACAAATATTGTATAGTTCCACTTACATGAGTTACCTAGAATAGGCAAATTTCTCTATGAGAAAGTGTGATAGAAATTACTAGGGGTTGGAAGAGGGAGAGATAAGGAATTATTGTTTAATGGGTACAGAGTTTCTGTTTGAGATGATGAAAAATTTCTAGAAATGTATAGTGGTGATGGTTGTAGAATACTATGAATGTGCTTGATGGCACTTAACTGCCACTTAAAAATGGTTAAAATGATAACTTTTGTTAGGTATATTTTACCACAATAAAAAAAATTAAATGAAACGATAAAATACTCAAAGAAAATAAAGGCAACTATTTATATAATCTTGGATCGAGGGAAGAAAGACCTTTATGAACATATCAAAAAACAGCACACAGGGACGCCTGGGTGGTTCAGTCAGTTAAGCGTCTGCCTTCGGCTCAGTTCATGATTCCAGGGTCCTGGGATCGAGTCCTGCACTGGGCTTATTGCTCAGTGGGGAGCCTGCTTCTCCCTCTGCCTGCCGCTTCCCTTGCTCATGCATGCGCATGAGTTCTCTCTCTCTCCCTGACAAATAAATAAAATCTTAAAAACACACAGCACATAGAATTTAAATATGTATTTATATATGTATTACATATGTATGTGTATAAAAGATTGGAAAGATGATGCATAACGTTGGTAGCATTTTCTCTAGGAGGTAAGATGAATAATTTTCATTTTCTTCTTTTTGCTTTTCTATATTTTCCACAGTTTAAAAAAATATAATTTAAATCCTTAGAAAAATGTACTCATAAGTACACATCTGTTCCTGTTTTTAAGTTGCTCCAAAGTTGAATATAATTCCTTAATTCAAGAATGGGGATCATACAGACCTCTGGGTATAAAATAAAGAAGTCACGGGGATGAAAAGTCCAGCATGGGGAATATCAACAATAGTGTTGTGATAACTTTGTATGGTGACAGATGGTGACTATACTTATTGTGGAGAGCACTAAAAAAAAAAAGTAAAAGAATTGAGATAATAAACCTTTTCTCCAAGCTCTACTCCTATAGGAAACAATCAAGACGGTCTACATACAAAAAGCAGATTAAGCTAAGGAGCTTTCTTAGAGAAAGAAATACATAACATCCAACTCTTGGGAGTTGTAGATTAAGGACACAGTCTAGAACACTCTCGTGGCGGTAGTAAAGAGTTGGAAGGGGTAATGCAGGTCTCTCAACTTTTCCACCTTGTTACAGATTGAATTGTGTCTCCTCTAAATTCATATGTTGAAGCCCTAATGGCCCCCTCCCCCAGTACCACAGAATGTGACTATTTTTGAAGATAGGGCCCTTAAAGAGGTAATTAATGTAAATGATGTAATTAATGTAAAATGAGGTTCCAACCTGACTTATCCTTATAAGAAGAGAAGATCTGTCTACAAACAAAGGAGGCAGGCCTCAGCTGAAATCAGCTCTGTCGACGCCTTGATCTTGGATTTCTAGCCTCCAGAATTGTGAGAAAATAAATTTCTCATGTTTAAACCACCCAATCTGTACTTTGCTTGGCAGCCCCAACAACAAACACACACCCCTAACAACAAAATGAGCTTCCTTGGAGACCCATCTAAGACACAGCCCAAAGTGGCTTAGAGCACCCATGAAAACTCCCTGAAGCCTTCTCTTATAAACATAAACAAATACAAATTCATATCAGACACTTTTGTCTAAAATATTTACATTAATTTCCAAAAAGCAAAATAGTCACACCGTACTCCCAAGCACCTCCACTCTGAAGGATGTGGGGAGGGGCAGGACATACAGTTCCCAGTTGGGGTGGTAGGTATCAGGAAACCTGGCCACTGGAATTTCCACTGGCCGATTACAACCTTTCTGGACTTTGGTTTCATCATCTGTAATACAGGGATCATAATCCATCTCCAGGACATCCCACTGAATGTTTGTGAAGACCAAGCGGTAATGATGGAAAATTTTCACGTCAGTATTCCTAATCTGTAGTAATACCAACAGGCTTGGTTTTGCTCCAGAGGAAAAGAAAATAAAAAGAAAAAAAAAAGATTTAAGTTTTCAGTTTAGGGAAATTGCCTTTGATCTAGATACATTAATTGCTGTGTATTCTAATAAATGCACTTCGGGTTATTACATCAAAATATAGTTAACATCCCTCCCCTCCCCTCCCATCCTTCTGTGAGAATATTAACTGCCAAGCAAGACATTGTCAGAAAGCGACGCCTTGTGGCCTTTGTTCTGTACTGCCCCTGGGTATACTGGGTGTTCTCAGTTTTGTCAAAGGGCTTAAAAGAGGCACCAAACAATACCTTCTTCCCCTACAACATATCCAAAACAGGCAGGTTAATAATTTGACATCCTTTTTAAAAAAGATTTACTTATGTATTTGAGAGAGAGAGAGAACCAGCAGGGGGAAGGGCAGAGGGAGAGGGAGAGAGAATCCCCAAGCCGACTTCCTGCTGAGTGTGGAGCCTGACCCGGGGCTCAATCCCCAGCACCCAAGATCATGACCTGAGCTGAAAGCAAGAGTCAGCCGCTCAACCAACTGAGCCACCCAGGCGCTCCAATAATTTCACATCCTGAAGTCAATATATTTTACATATCCCTTTAGTCCATTTATTTAGTGAAGGCAAGAGAAATGGATTTTCTATCAACAAAATCATGTATTTCTTTGTGCTCAATGTAAGGGTTTATTACATGCACTAATGAACATTATGCTTCGAATTATTTGGAGTTGTCTTCCTTGTCAAAGTTTTTCCTCCTCTTGCTACGGGATAATTTCGGTTCTCTTATTAAGGAAGGAGTACAGTCCTATTGAAAATATGTTCTTAAAATTTTAAGCTTTCTGGTCAGCAAAACATCATCATATCCTTTCTAAGAGATCTATTTTTGAGTAATATAATTTTCAATTGATAATAAGCCCAAAGAATTCATGTTTATTTGGCACGTATGATTTTCAGATACATAATTTTTTAAGGGAGTTAGGTTCATTTAAACCCGTAAGTCATTTGCAGATAGGATTCTCAGGCAGATTTCTTGTAAAATATTGAGTTAGAGAAAAAATGTTTTGTTTTGCATGCATACCTCCTCATATA